ATGATTTGTGTGTGGGGTTAGTTAACTGTAAAGCTTGATCATCTCTAGCAATTGTCCAGTTCTAGGGCACTCAGAACCCTTTGTAAGTAAAATTACACTGTGAAAATTAGAAATAGGATAGAAAGCGTATGCTCACTGGAAAATCCATCAGGAGCAATGTATCTGTAGGCTTTGCTTAAACAGGGTTTTTGCATTTCTTTATGATATTATTGACACAGCCTACATTTCAAACATTAATGTTCAGCAAGAGAGAGCACTGGTAATATCATGTACTGCACCCTGGTTAACAGTTCAGTATTCCAGGGAGGAGGAAAAACTCCCTGATCAAATATGTGATAGCTGAAAATAAATATCTATATAATGTGAAATTAATTATTTTGAATCCTCTAGTTTTCCATCTTTTTATATATGCATATTTAATGACAACCATATTTTTCATCCCCTATAGTACATATAAAATATTGTGCTCCATTTGTGTTTGTGCCAAGGAATACAATTTCTGCATTTGAGTGTCTTTCTCACTGTCATCAATAACATTATGAATTTGTCTAAATTCAGCAAGTAAAAACAAGGTTGAAAACTATGTTTTATACCACTAGCTGCAGGGGGCATAAAATTACGGTAATTTGTGGCTTTACTATTGTCAGTCATGTTCAAGAGTTTTTTCCAGTGGAAATTTGTCACGCGCCTGTCACTGAACATACTATGGAGCTGCAAGGCGTTTTTCTAATACAGAGGCACTGAGCAATTCCCTGGAAGTACATAAGGCTGAAATACTCATTCACCTTTCTTTTGTCTTCCTTTTAGAAGGAATGAACCTGGAGCAAGTGTGTGGGAAGCGTTCGGCAGTGCTGAGCTCTGCCATAACCAGCCAAGTGCGCCTTTCTTGGTAACAACACTTGGCCAAAATGCTTTTTTACCTTATTGCTTGTAGGAGTTGTGGGGGGAACTGGGGAAGCAGGTACAGTTTGTGGTGTGGGAGGCCAGAAGCGCCGTGTACAGAATCACTGTTGGCCTGGGGGGACAGTGCTGGCTTTTTGACTGTGCCCACCGGTCTGAAATGCTCCTGTGGCACTTGGGGGTACGGCAGCGCATGGTCCTGTTTGTTACTAAGAACTACAAGCCAAAAACTTGATTAAATGATTCTACCAAGGGGATGCTAAAAGAGCAAAGAAGTTGTTGGTATTCTGCCTTGCTCAGCTGAGGTCGGAGTCTCTTGGGCTGATGGCCACTACAGGTTTGACCTCCAACTTTCTCACCTGGAAATCAAGTGACTGCCTTGTGTAACATAACACCCAGCGCCTGGCAGCAGCTAGTAAGGGCACTACACATCTTGTTCTTCAAAGTTTTCATTTTGTGTAGCACATTTTTCTGCTGCCTGGTTTGAAGCTCTCATTTTTTGAGTTTATATCTTTCCACAGTAAGATGAAGCACTACCACAAGACGATTGGCTATTTTTAACTGAATCATAGAAGATTCGGGTGTTTTTGAAAAGTGATTATTAAGATAATACTAGTTCTTTTAGGGCAATCTTCACAGCATTGAATCTTGAGAAGGACGATGTTTACTTGTGTCAGGGAAGAGCTGCTGCAGTGCTGCTACACTGTTGGTTTTCTTCCTCTGATTTTCTCAGTGAAACGTGAAGGTTTTCTATTTTAAGAAAGTTTCTGTTGTTTTCTAAAAACTTCCCCCATCCCCCAGTAGTGAAAGTGAGCAAATGTACTGTCTTGAAGACTGATAATATTACCTGTGACCTGATATGGTTGTATGTTATACTGCAAGGCACTGGGAGTTTATTGAAAATTACATGTTGTGTGCATTTAGGTTTGGATTACTTGTGAATGTTCATAGATTTCCAGTTCCTCTGCATTTGTTTGAAAATTCAGGATAATTTGCTTGTGTAAAAATTAGAAATTATTTTTGAGGCAAGTGCATTGTTTGTTTACTCACCATGTACTTCTGGCCAGTACTTTAACACTTAGGCCTCCAAACCCACTTGTTCAACATGAAAAACTACTGTGGGGCAGAAACAGTGCTGAGATGCAGTAGGAAATGTAGCAAAATCCGATCAGATGCTTAAAGAGGAACAAAACACACAAATGTGTTGTTGATAAGAGATGCTGGTTCTGAAGCCGTGGTGTAAATGTTGAGGGTTTGAAGTTGCAGGGTTTTTTAGCACTGGAAGCATTGTAAGTATCTAATTGTGACCATGAAAGCAAAATAATGCCAGCAAAATTTGCAATTCAAAATAACCTTTAAGTTTGATTTAATGACAAAATAAATGTCAACAAACAGTCTTATATTAATTACATAAATTGGCAACAGCACTTCTACAAATTATGGATTTGAACTGCTTTTTAAATATTCTCTACAAAAAAAAAAGAAAAGAGCAATCATAGGCATTAGTAATGTGTGTATATACATATGTATGTAATCATTTGTGCAGATACTTCTACATATTAACATGAACACACATATGTATGTGCTTTCTAAAGCTCAGCAGTTCTGAAAAGGGTTAAGCAGTTTTAAAATTACCTCAACCCACTGCTTAAACATTGTTGCCTTAATTAATAGCTGCTAACACATGAAGGGCTTGTCTTGGCTCTCAGAGTATATATAAAAAAAAAAAAAAAGCAGCATGTCACAGAGCTCTGTGTACACTGTTTCTTGTCTACTGCCATTAAAATTAATCACTGTGACTGTAACCTGAAAGGTTTGTTATTTCTGGTACAAGTGGACACATCAACACCTGCAATTTCTTACCCATAGAATCTCCATGCCTGTGATTTTTTTTTTAAGGAATTTAATGTTTTGGGGTTTTTTAAAGAATGGCTATTGATACTTGTTACTTAGCTAGCATTTCTGAAGAGATTTTTGGAATGAACAAAATGAAATTAAACTTTTGGCAACTACTTATTAATTTAGGCTAGCCATAGTGAAAGCTACTCCTTCCCCAAGGAGAAGCTAAAAATATTTTGGAGGACTAACACTATGAGCCAGTATGCAGGGCAGTGTTTCTATAATCCATTTTCCAGTGCTAAAGAGTTTGTCCTTTTGGCGTAGTGGAAACTGCATAAACTTGGAGTGGAAACTGGGGAAACTTCCCACCTCTTGCCATATTAAATACTAAACTAATAAAGGGAATTTTTTAATCTGTTTCTTAACAGGTCAGTATCCATGTAACCAACAAGGACTCTTGTGGTTCTAAATTTGGTGATTTTTCCTTACAAATGTCACTGTTACTTGTATTTGATAATCTCATTCCCAAATTAGACACATCTGCATACTCCAGCCCCATAGACTGGTGCAGTTGGGTTGTGCACAGCTCAAACAGTAGCTGGACAAAACAGCCTGGAAACCCTGTAGCCAATTAAATGTGGTGCCAGTTCAAAACCAGTGTTGCACTGACTTGGTTCCCTGCAGGAGCAGGAACCTCCTGCAGCTGAGGAGATCCCTTCTAAAGCTGGCCAGGGAGGATATAGGGAGCACCAAGACAGCCACTGGTGAATCCTTGGGATGGTGGCACTGTCGGACTGGCGGGCAGTGCTTTGCTGAGTGGCACATCTGCCTTGCCACCTTGCTGAAGTCCCTAACATTATACTGGCCCTGTAGAGTGGGGAGTACAGTGAGTTTTGGGCAGACTGGACAGTACAGCGAGTTTTGGGCAGTGCCTTCCTGGTGTTGTTCAGTCTCAGTGTTGAGGTTGTTGTGGACTGCAGCAGCTCTGGTTACACTGATACAGGGAGTGCAGGCAGGAGGGCACTGCTGCTGATAGAGGCATACTGTCTAAGGAAAAGGAAAGGCTACTCTCAAACTTGGAAAGAAAAGCTGTGCTGAAATTCAGTTAGGACTTTTAGCCTTGGTTGGAGCTCATGGGAGGACTTCTGCTGCCTCACCACCCATTTGCTTTTGCAGCAGCAGCTCTGCAGTGGAAGCGTGCGCAGAGGCTGAGGCATGACCTTCAGTGGCTGAGAGGGACATCATTCCCCCAAAGCTGCATTATTTGCAAGTGCCAGCAGTGTGAGTGGGGCAGGTTGTGTGTCATCCACCCACTCGTGCCTGAGCTCTTCTCCGCACACAGCCCCACGGATGCTATTGTTAGGCATGAACGCTAATTGCTGGTATTTCAAGGCTCCTACCTTCTTATTGCTAAAGCCTGTAACAATAATCACAGCCTAGATTCCCCATCTCTCGGCATCAAGGAAACAAGATATGATCATAGGCAGTGTGCTAATGTAATTGTAGTATATAGAATATGAGCTTTTTCTGTGTAAACAGAGGCCTGGCCACATCCTATGATAGCTCTTCCCGCACTCCGCACGCGGGCTGTTCCTCGGCTCACTGCTCAAGTCCCCATTATGGATACATCCAGCCTTGTCATAACACCACCTCTGAAACACTCACACCGTTTGGTCCTGCTGCATAATGGTGAGAGGGTGGAATATTAAATGGAAAAAGGCTGTTTAAGTAATGTCAGCAGCCTGACTAATTTCACAAAAGGAAGGAAATTCAAAGTTACGGCTATGGTATATTCTTATCTAGATGCCTGAAGATTTCTGTGCATGACAATATGCCCCTAAAATTCAGAGCTGTCCCTTATGTCTTTAATTTCTCCCATTGTGTCGCTCCTTTTTTTTTATTAAACATCAAAGTGAATTCACAACAGAGAGTCAGCCTAGAATTTAATCCTCTAAATACCTTGAAAATAGAGGTTTAGACTAGAAGTACCAATATATACCCTTAAAACTTCAGTGTAATATAAAAGAGATTCTAATCACAACAGATCATTACAAAGAAGAGTAAACCACTTTAAAAAAAATTAAGTGTCTTAAATATAATAAAAAGGAATAATTAAGAATCCAACAGGAAGCTGCTATTCTGACAATTTAATGATGCTGAATTGGACTGAAAGAATTGGCTTTGCCACTAAAAGGCAGTGAAAATCTGATAATTTCAAAATGGCACTAAGATCAGATCAAGTGGGTTTTTTGAAATCAAATGCAGCAGAACAAGATAGAAATGGTAGGATTCACCTTAGAGTGTGTTTTGGATTCCTATTGCTGCCTGGGGTTGATGTTATTTTATCAGACTTGCTTAACATCTATAGACCAGGGTTCTCCTGGGAATTAATACCTTGTGGAACCTGTGGAAAGTATCTTGGCAGTCCTAACTGCCAAAAAGAATAATAAAACACAGTTGATCTTTCATTCCTATTTCTTAAAAAAAACAAACAAAAAAACAAACCAAACAAACAACAACCAAAAAAAAAAAGGACCAAAAAACCCAAAACAAAACAAAAAACCCCAACAGAACAACCAAAACCAACCAAACCTCACAATTTACATAACAGTATCTGGGACATTGCAGCTGATTACACTAGGAGTTTCCCACTGTGTGCAATGTGCAAATGAAAGTCAAGTAGACAATCTCCTTTGGGTTTCTATATGTAAGAACAGAGATATGCATCTAAACGTTTAAAAGCAAGCAAGCTAATCTTAAAAAATGCTCACAATAACTGTACAAGTAATTTGCACATGCACTTACCATGACTGTGAATTACAGCCATGTATTTACTGATACTCATTTTCTGAGCATAACTAGGTGCACTATGGCAAGCATTAATAGGTTGCATAGTTAGATTTTTAATTACTCCAGGGCAGGATGGTGTTTTCCACCTGAGAACCTTAGGAAGCAAACTTGGCAAATTGCTATGATATGTGTTGCAATGGAGAAAGATGTCATTAATAACAATCAGTTGGTATGCATTTATATTGTAAAAATAAATCCAAGAAGGTGAGATAATTTTATTTGTTACAAGGTCTCATCCCTACAGTGAGCAAATACCTGTTTTGGGCATCACCAGCATATTACTGGAAGACAAAGGCAAAGCGTTAAAACATAGAAATAAAGCTTTAATACACATAAGCAATTAGAACACAGAGTAGTTAACAATTGTGTTTTCCATCCTTGCATGTTCTCCTGAAGCACTTGTGAAATCTTCTCTGTTAGATGTCATACGTGCCACAGAAAGTGTTTTGATCCTGTTCTCTTGTAGCCCTCTGAATTAAGTGAGTGATCATCGTGTGTTCAAACATTATGGACAAACCCATGGGTCCTTTTGTATCGGTGGCCCACAGCTCAGACAATTTCCAGATGTGCAGGACTCGCAATGGCCTTGTCACTCGTTCAAACCGTACGTGAAGCAAAACCCAAAGTGAACCCAAAGCCCAAAGCCCACCCCCGACCCCCATCCCAGGCTGAGCCGCGGTCCGTGGCAGGCTCCCGCCCGCCTCCCGACTCCTGGGGCTCTGCTGCCATCCTGTGGCAGCCGCGCCGCCGGCGCCCGCCGCTCCCGGGGCTCCCGCGGCGGGAGCCTTCTTCTCCTGCCCTTCCCGCAGGGAGGCCCTCACCTGCTGCCTCCGCTGCTCTCACCAGTCTTGGGTTGACTTCTGCTTGATAAAGCGCAGAGATAAATAGTACAAAAGCAGGAAGCTGCAAATGATGCCGGTGAGGACAAGGTAGCTCACATAGAGAGGGTGGGAGTCCAGGTCCAGAGCCTGTGTGACCTGCAGTGACCAATAACACAAAATTTGGAAAAGGCACAACATTTTCTTGCTGGATCTGTGAAGTGTGTTTTATGTGTAAGCTTCCCTGGCCCCTGCTGCCTTCCCCTGTTTTCCATCTTGGGAGTAGCTTCCAGGGTGGTTTGATAGAAGGTTGCAACTATGCTGTTCCTATTTCAGAAGAACACAGTTCAGCTTCTAAACAATTCCAGCAAAGTGCACAGCTGAGGCTGGTGTAGGAAAGAGTTGCCCTTTACTATTTTGTTTTTTTCTCTTCTACTAAAAGAAAGGCATAGAAGGAGTGACTGCTATAGGGCCATCTTTAGGAGCAAATTTACAACCAAGTGTAATCCACCTTCATGGGTTGATTTGGCAATTGCTGAATTTGAGGCCTACACCATCTATTTAAATATGACAGGCATATAAATAGCAATTTCTTGAGAAATGTCCAATTTCTTATCAATGTGTGCAACAGTTTTTATTACTGACTTACAAGTTTCCCTGGTATTTCATAAGTAGTGTTTCCATCAGTTATTTCATATGTGGTGTTAGTGAACTGAAGTTGCATCATTCCTTCAAAATTCCATCTGAGGAAAGAGATTTTTGAAACCCAAAAAGGAACTGAAAAAGAAAATGACAGAAATTGATTCACACACACAAAACTTGAGACCTAGAATACTGCTGTGCTGCTGCCAAATACAGCAGGTTTGTCTCACTTCTTGACAGCCAGAGGCTGTAAACATGTGACAGTTTATTATTGGACAAAATGGCAGATATACTTTACATAGTTACATGGAGATGGGAAATCAGGAGTTAGCTAATATCCATATCCATCAAACTCCCCCTGTCAACTAAGTCTTCCTGGAGCTCCATCCTCCTCTTCTGAATATACTTCTTTTTACTGAAGAATTCAGCAACCACATAAGAAGCTACCCTTTCGCTATTGTTTTTTTTTTTTTGACCAAACTTCTTGTTGCCTCATTTTCAGATGGAGAAACTGATGTAAAATGGATGATCTGACTGCACTGTCACATTCCAAGAAGATAATTGCAAAGGTAAGAATAAAGCTGAGTTTTCCTGCACAAGCCATGCTGTCACTGATGAAAGTCATTGTTGTTTCAATTTGGAGGGAGGGTGGGAGCTTTGTCTTACCTGTCCAGAGGCTGTTCAGGCTTATCACAAAACCACCACTGAGGTAGAATGATGTGAAGAGGACATTGCCAAGGAAGGCCGAGAGCTGTAACGTCGGCAGCAGAGCTGCCACCCAAAGTGCCATGGCACGGGCACTGTAAACAGCCAACCACAGTAACAGGAAATTCAGCAGGAAATGTTCTGGATCAGGAACAAGGTTTGCCATCCAGTAGATGGGAATCCCATAAATTACAACAAAAATGCAGTGTTCTGGTAGCTCCCCCAGAATCTGTTTGGGAAAATGAAAAAGAAAATTTTATAAAAAGAGAAAAATGTGAATGATAAATACAAAAATACATGAGATGTGCCTTTATATACTTGTGGACTGTTTATAAAAGCTATAGGAAATACTCCCTTAGAATGCAATCATCTCCCTGTTAGGGCTTGCCAGTGACATGCAAAACCAATCCACAACAGAAACAAATCCTTGCTAATTTTTTCTCCAGTTGTGACAATGCCTAAAACTAATTGTTACAGATTGTTTTGTTAAGAGTTTTGGGAGTGTCTAAGAATGCAACACATTTTTGCTGTGAACTGATGTGCTTGATAACAGTAGTACTGTTACTGACTCGTGGTAACTGAATGTTTTGTCCCAATTTAGTTGAAACTATTGTGAGATCAAATCTGAAACAAATTTGGTTCTTGGTCCCTCCACCACCTGGTCCTAAAGGCAGTCCAGGTAGCAACTTGATTCATTGTAAAACAAAAGCATAACTGGGATTCTCTCAAGTATCTGAAGAGGTATATAGAGGGAGTATTAATTCTTCCAAAGAGAGTTGCTGCTATCCTCTAATACTAAGGTTGTAACAAATTACATCGATTTCTCTGTGAATAAGTGCAATCTTTGTGACACAATGCAAAGCATTTTTTTCTCTGGCAACCACTAATAAGCATTTAAAATCTTGTGCAGAAATGGAAACCTAAATTACAGATGCCATGGCAGGCAGAACTCGTCTAACATCACAAAAGAGGGATTATTCAAAACCCTTGTGAAAAAGAGAATGTCATTTTTTAAAAGTTCTAAATTTAATTCTAGAAACTCTGGCTCTTTGTGCACATAATACATTTTTTAGCTCAGACCAATACAGGCCCAAACTGGAAATATCACAGCATTTTGTCATTTCTGTTTTACCTCCGCTTTAGCACTTCATACAAATGTTTTGTTTTACAGATCAAGATATGTAAGCAAACTTTCAGAGATGCTGCAGTGAATTAAATAAGCAGGTATGTAAAACTGTCTAAACCTGGAAATCTGAGTCTGAGATTTCTCATGTTTTGGCCAAAGAACCCAGTGAAAAGTTCTTCTTTGGCTTTTCTGGTGTGGGATCTCAGCCATAACTTATGGCAAAATTCTAAACTAGTGTGAGGCCTAATCCATTAATACTAAGGAAGTGAGACTGATAGCCTTAGCTGGCAGACACAAAAGAACAGAGTCTGATATGAATGTGATTATTTATACAACAAGGTTTTGGTTTGCTTGTGTTTTGTAATGTTCAAGACAGCTGTTTGTATTTCCTGGCAACAAAACCAATTACCTTAGCAAAGAAGTATGGGCTAACAGAGTACATTCCACCTTCCAAGTCATGATAAAGCATTGCTCTTTCTGAATGACCTGCAGGGTAGGAACAAATACACTGGGTTGTATTAATAAGTTTATTTTTTCCATAGATTTAAGAATTTTTTTCATTTTGATTCCTCATAGCATGTACAAGAATACTGACACTTACATTTGGCAATAACATCCAAAATTATTGTGAATGGGATAAGGGCACCTATCATGTACAGGAGTGCTGCTGTGTCACGAATAGAGAGTCCATTTTTTCCATGGCCATAGTACAAAAATCCAATTAGCAATGACATAAGAAGGGCTTCAAATCCATGGATTAGTAATGTTGAAAGATCTCTGAAGTCATTGGAGACCTGACGACTAGGAAAACAGCAATATAGACTGTAAGATATAATACTTACTAGTGCCAGTTATATTCAGACACATAGCCCCAGTGTTCAAATCAGTTCTTGGAACTTGCTGGCTTTGGCAAGGACAGGAGTTGGACTGAAGGAGTGTAGGGGGATGCCCCCAATGAGAGAGGGACAAACTAGCCTTTATCCTCCAAAAAAGGAAGGAGGCCCAGAAGTTTCTCCCAACGATCAGGTGAAAAGACACCTTATAGGACCCCAGAGACTTCAGTAAAACCTCGGGGTCACCTAATTGGATGAGAGCCAAAAGATCCCGCCTGGGCCATCAGGTAGAGAAAGAGAGAACAAAAGAACCACGAGGCTTTTGTGAAGGTGTTTTACCAGGAGCAGACCTCTGTACATGAATCGGATTTTCTGTTTATTGTTTTTCCTTTTATTAAACAGTTTTGTTTCCAACACTGCAACAGAAGCCATCCTGCTCATTATTTGCCTCCAAAGGTAATAGCCAAGCTATTCTTGGATGTATTAAGTTCTCTTCTAAAAGCTCAAAAAACCCTGGCCCGACAAAACAGAACTTAATATTGGACTCCCTGTTTCTGTAAAGGATTTTACCTAATCAAACCTATGAAGCACCTGTAGCCACCAAGTACTTCAGGTCTAAAATGGTGAAAGCCTGAAGGAAGACAACTGGGGTGGGATGTTCTGTGCCTCCCTCTGATTTTAAATACAAATGGGCACGATACATAACAAGATTACCTTAATAATATTGTGAACTGCTTCAAGGATCCTGGTAATTGATCATTTACATGGTGAGGCATATTGATAACCTCTTCTGAATTCCTGCCCAAAAGAAAAAGAGAAAAAAAATTAGATTAGCAGAAGGTGTAGCTATTATTCCAGACCTTCTCTGTGACACTCTTTTCTTTACCTCTGCTTGATGGCTGTGGTATCAGTGTTGTCTCCTTCAGTAGCTTTCCATAAGAAATCATCAAAATGTTTGACCTTTTCTATGAACAAGTTGGCAAGAGTATTTGCTCTTTTTTGGCTTTCCTTCTCCTTTTCTGCAGTCTGTTTATCAATACTGGTCAAGTCAACTGCAAGACATTACTTGGTTTGAGTCCATGTGCCATAGAATAAATAACTTTATGATTTGTTTAGAATCAGGGATTTAATTGGGAGCAAGCAGTCCAACCTGTGTACATTCATTAACTTACAACAGTTAAAACTATCATTTATTTTAGGTAATTAGAGATGAACAGATTGTTAATGTGTATGTTTCTTACCTAGTTACTCAATGAATCACTGAGAGATTACATCATTGCTTATTATAGTATTATAAACTACTATTTCAGATTTTAATAAATTTCATAGCACCTTGAGAGCAGTGCTGAGAAAAAATAGCTTGAATTTCCTTCCTGTCATGTAGGCATTTGGAGTCTTTTATGTGACTTTGACTTAAATCACATTTTTTCTTCATGTGCACAATTATAGTTACTGTCTTAGTTGTAACTTACAGAGGTGCCATAAACTTTACCTGATACTGAGAAAGTCCAAAAGGAGCATTATCTAAGGACAACACAGTCATACCAATAATAGTTGACTTAGTGCCTTTTTTTTTTTTTTAATCTAAACTTACAGTAGTATTTTCCCGTGCTGACCTTTGGTGTAGATTGACAATATCTGATGTTTTACAGATGCTTTCTGAGAGAATTATCTCTGCACATTTCCTGACTCCTTGCATTGGGCTGATCATGTCTGTTCAGCCACTCTTAGGAGGAGTCCATCAGAAATTCTTTGCCTTCCTTTCTGCCCTAGTCACTTGTTTCTCTGTCAGACATGCAGCCAGCATCTGAATATTTCTATCAGGTCCTCCCTCTTGCTGTGGATGCTCTGCCATCCTGTCCTATTTCCACCTTCCTGCTGCCTGTATTTCCTTTCTTTTCCTGCGGGTGCTGACTCGGTGCATACCATTCAAGGATCTTCGACCTGCCCCTGTGCCCTCCCCACCTCCTCAGCACAGGGCATTGTCTCTGTAACCACAGGCTGTAGCTACAGCTTTCCCCAGGACTCCTCTCGTTCTACAGGGGTGCTGCAAGCCTTCCCCAAGGCTGTGCTTGGCTGAGGACTGCTCTGAGCCCTGATGGTGACAAAGGTCTTTTTGTGGGGCTTGACACCAAGGTTAACTTCTATTTATCTCTGCACAGCTGGCACTGCCTGCCACACAGGCACAGCTGAAGAGATTACTCCAGAACATTATGGTTGTCCGAGGTCTGTACCAGGTTTTCTGGCCAACTTGAGTGCAATGACCTAAGGGCTGGAATTGAACCAGCCTCTGTTAAGCGATTCCTGCCATTAAATGAACAGATTAACTGGGCAGATTCCCTTTCCACGTTGCAAAAAGCAGAAAATGAATTGATTTGAAACTACATAAACTTTCTTTGAGGAGTAAAAAGATTGCTGATTTGGGTTGGGATTTTCTCCCTTCCATTGTGCTCTGTAGGGCAGCACTCCTTTTTCCCAGTACTTATTCCAGGTTTGTCTCAGACTAGCTGGGAAAGTCCTGTCTCTGTCCCACCTTCTGGGAAACAAACTTCTACATTTTCTTAATTGAGAAATCAGAGAACTGTCTGCCGAAAGCAGTTGATCAGTTTATCTGTGTCTTTCCCAGAGAAAAGGTTTCAACCAGCTAAAACATGGGGATAAGTATGCTCAACGTGTTGACAAGTTACTACATCTGCCACTGTTAGAAGGAGTGTTTTTAAAATTAGTTTTGTCTGTACCTCTTGTTTTTGCTACATTTCCTGTACTGACAAATAAGGATTCTATTAAAAAAGGAACTTGCTGCAGTATTGATTTATTTACAAGGCATTTCTGAGACAGTCATGATCAATAAAAATCAACATTACCTAGCCACCTAGGAAAGCAAATGATTTCCAGTAACCCTTTTTTTATGACAGTGCTTAATACTGACCGTAGAAATCTGCAGGATTGCTGTACCTTGGGCAAGGATAGCCTAGTTCTGTGAAATACTGGACCATGTCTTTAGCTGTTCCACCGTAGGCAGTGAGTCCAGAAGTCATGAGAAGAACCAAATCAAACAGTTGGAAGATATCTGACCGGGGCTGATGAACTGAAAGAAGAACCAATCTGTTTCCTCTGGCCAGTCTGGATAATGTTATCACAAGGTTATGTGCAGTAAAGCTGTCCAGTCCAGAAGTAGGTTCATCAAGTATTAGTATTCCTGCCAAAGACAGTAAGTTTAGCTGTAGAAAGCAGCATGTTTGGTTTGGAAAATATGTTCTAAGTGAAATGGTGCTAGTGCACAAAATTTCACTCATTATTTTTAACTTTAAAGAAAATGATAATTTTTTTACTTCAGTACATCTATTCCTGAGCATCACGTCTTACAGAAGCAAAAACCTGCTTTCCCCATAACTACAGAAGTATAACTTCATACAAGCAAGAGGTTTTCAAATCCACTTCCTAGGGAAAAAGCTGATGGGGAATCCTGTTCAAGAAGAGGCTCAGTCAAGGTTAATGGTGATTTTGATATACATGTAAGATCTGAGAGGGGATTCAATCCAGCAAAATCAGCTGTGGATTTAGCCTCATGTTTTGCTTCTGCTGAAGACAACAGAAGTTTCTATTTCACCTGCAACATGAAGCCATGTCAGTGAGTTGCACAAGACTGCAATGACTGACTATACAGTGAAAAAAATGACCTTTCCTGTTAATACTCCACATGTAAATGGGGGCTTGTGTCAGAGGGAGGGAAAACAATGTTCAAAATAAGCCAAAGTAACTTGTGGCATGTGGTCAGATAAAACCCAAACTTTATACTGATATGCACAAACCAGAGCACTGCTGTGAGTCACTTCAGGCAACTTTGAGTAATCTTTGTGGTGGTGGTTGTAGAGAATGATGGGTTAAGGCTCCTGGGGGCTCTGCCTCGGTCTGTCTCCACTTTTCCACTGGCAAAGGTGACTGAAGCAAAAGCCTGTCAGCTGCTGAAACACTCTGTTTACAGAATTATTTCTGTAATAATTACAGTACTATCTGTGATCAGCACTGATTACAATTGAAGCAAATGGACCAGCAACAGCCGCTAACTGTGCCGTGGAGAGGCAGCCTCTGGCAGAGGGTGATGCAAGGACTGTTAAGTGTCCCGAGTATGAACTCCTCCCGCTGACCTAGGGACAACGGAGTGTGTGGCTCTTCCCTGAAAGCTTCCATCTTCGTGCAGTGCCCCGTTGTGCCCAAGTGGTGTGCGGTGGGCCCCAGGAAGGTGCGAGTTGTGCTCACCCGGGTTCCAGAGCAGCTGCACGCCGATGCTCACCCTGCGCCTCTCTCCCCCGGAGACGCCCCGCAGGTACTCGTTCCCCACCCTGGTGTTGGCGCACTGCCGCAGGCGGAGCTCTGCGATCACATCTTCCACCTGCGGGGATCCAAGGGTGACAGGCGTCAAGCAGGAGTTCATTTGCACATTCGTGCATAGATAAAACTGAAAATATGATTAATATGGTTAAAATTCATCTGGATATTTCTGTGCTAGAGACACTTGAAAACAGATCTTGATTCTAGAGGTAATATTAAAAAAGACTCATCGATCAAAAATTTAGTTCATCTTTCAGCCTCTCTAATGCTTTCTCTAGATTGTCATTTTTTATGAGCTTTGGAACAATTGCTGGTTTCTATCTTGAAAGATGAAAAAGGTTTAAAATTCATAATCTACATAAAAAAATGCCAGATTAGCTGTTCTGACTCCAAACACACAGGATCTCTTGGATAATTCCTGTCAGATACATTTTTGACAACTTTATTTTTTCCCAACAGCTTAATTACCCTTTTTTTCCTTTGTGAGTCTGAAAAAAACTTTGGAAGGCGCAGTTTGGCAACGAACAATAGTGTTTCTCTGACAGTCAGGTGGGGGAGCAGTCGGTCATCCTGCCTCACGTGTGCTATGCATTTCCTAACGAGCTGGGGAGTGATGGGTTTGTTGTTGATCATGACTTGACCAGACTTGATTTTGCCTCCATGATCCCGGCAGGTTATCACGTCAAGCAAGGATGTCTTTCCACCAGCTAGAAAAATAAAAATTGAAAATTAATTTCCAAGGGATGGTTTTCAAAAGCTATCTTGTCACATATAGAGATGTTAAGGAAAAAAAAAATCTTTGCCAACCCCTCCTAAAGTTTTCCTAAGGTCACAGAGACAGGATGATCTTCAAAGAAAATACTGACTATAAGGTCCTGTTCAGGAAATCTCTCCCCCTTGGAATGGAGTATGTGGTTTGAACCCTTATAATTTCTCAGCAGAACTGGGTAGTTGGGCTTTGAGGACGGCTTCATGAACACAAGAAGTGTCTCATCTCTTTGGTAAACTCTCTTTCACTTTTGAAACAGAGGTTCAAGATGGTCCCACCCTGGCTGCAGGGCTGGCACCCAAATGCTCAGCAAGAGCTTGCTCTGTGGAGGGATTTGTGAATTCAGAAACAGCAGCTGGATCAGCTGAATGACTAAGGCATTGAATGATTATACAGACAATAAGAACATTAATCACGACTGAAATAAAAATTATTATGACTTGAATTAGACAAAAAGTCATTTAAATAATTAAGAAAAGCTGGTTCATACCCAGAGGTAAGAAAAGTAAAACAATGAAAACAAAACCTGATCTGGAGTTAAACAGCAAATGAATTTTTCCTTTTTGTTGTATGATTCTGTATGTAAACACACAGAACTCTCTTATGATTAGATGTCATTTATTTCTAGTCTCCCTGTTGAAAGATTAACTCCACACTTGCTTCTTAATACATACATCTTAAAAAAGAAACCCATCCATCTGTAAACCACGTATTGCTCTGTTTAAGAGTGACATATTGATTGCCATTGACAATGTGAAACCCATCAGCAGTTTAATCCATTTTACTAAGGCATTTGATGAAATAGATGATAAACAGCTTTTGAAAATAGTTTGACTAGTTTGCTGAAAGGGGTTTGTGCTCAGTGTATGTTGCCTTACAAAGGTGCTATATCTATAACTCAGTATGTTATTTCATCACAAAGCTTTTCCTTTTATTATCAAGAGAATCTCTAAGGTAAGCTTCACTTACATTAACAATATGTGCTCAGGAAAAATTCCCATGGCAATAGGAAAGAAAACTCTCATTTTTTAGGAATAAAGTTAAAACTTCTTTGACAAATATGCCTTGCCTTTGAGAGAGAGCATTTTCACTGAATCACTGAGCTAACTTGATGTAAGACTCTAGTGGAGACACAGCATGGGGATTTTTACCTCCCAAGCATGACACTTTTTACTTCAGTTTAAAGGTGCAGTGTCTACTTCTTGTCACCCTTGACCACTCCCACCAGAAAATGGAAGAAAAAACCAAACCCCAGGGTAATAAAGCAGTAACACCAGACAGAAGAGGAACTGTCTTTTCTTCTCTGTAAGTTTCTATTAATTAACAAAAATGCAATATTTTATCCTATTTGAATTGTTTTAGTCCAAATGGAATTTCTGCTTATGGTTATGCAAGGTAGCACTGCTCTTTCTTATGGGGTTTGGCTTCATTTGTTTGCTACCTGAGTGTGGTCTGCAATTGGCCTATTTTGAATCTGAGCCATGAAACTGATTCATGTCCAGCAGATCTGGGGCTGCCAGGCCACACTTGTAACAATACTTCACTACACCTCAGGAAACAGAATGCAAATGTGTGCAGGGCATAACAAAATTGGGTTTGAAAATAAATTTTAATTTATCCCCCCCAGTATTTTCTTTGTTTCTTTGTTCATCCTGTCACTTAAAGAATGTATTTTAGTGACACTCCCAATAGTTTTTTCTCAATGAGATTTTGACATTCTAAAGACTGCAGAGTGTTGCTCTTGATTGTGTTCATTTTATCTGAGAGCTGATCATATAATGAAATGTGGTTGCTCTTACCTGTGGTTCCTATAATTGCAAGCATCTGACCACTTCGCACTTTGAGATTCAGATTTTGGATCACTGTCACATGGGAATGGGGATCTGATTTCCAGGTCCAGGGCATTTTCATCTGAGCAAGGTTCTCATACCAGGGAATCAGGGATGCTGTGTTAACCTAGCAAAGAAGGAAACAAGTCCCTTCAATTCAAGCAATAAACCATTTAACAACAAATACCTTCAAAGTTACAATGTTACAAGCAAAGCATACGTTAAAATATTATTGTTCATCCTCAGAAATACCTAGAAGGAAGTTCTTTTGCAGCCACCTATGCTTTCATGCCTTGCTTCTTCTGTTAATCACTAAAACTCTCTGTCCTTTGTTACTTTGGTAATTTATTACTATTGTAAATTTTAAATGTTTCAGACTTTAAATATAATTGGAAATTCAAGGAAACTGAAAATTGTGAAATCTTATTCAGACCCCATGGGGAGAAGGAGACAAAATATTTCACTGGTTCATTTAAGTCCTCCTTATTAGTCCTCTTCTCTTTATCCCCTTCCACATACTCGTTCTTGCCAGCAAGAGCTCCTTTGATCCTTAGCTGAATAGAAAGTCCCTCTGCTCCAGCCCTCAGAGGAATAATTTTGCTCAAGAGTGAAACTAAGCAGGGCCTAGAAATAGATCTCTCTTCCTGTCTTATCCCTTAACTTTACTGGATATATTTACAATACAGGGGTTAGTCTGCTGTCAATATTGCAGCCAAGAGTGTGATTCTGCTCACAAACTGACTGTGCAACAGTTGTGTAAACTTTTTCAACTTTACTTGGCTTTTTAAATGGTCTGGGTATAGAAATAGGCATTGCTGGATATGCTTCCTGCTGAAGGGAGGTGTATAAATGACAATTTTTACCTGGTAGTTGAGTTCTTTGACCTCCAGAACATTTGATTTTCCACTGTATGTGAAGTAAAGACTGTTATCTTCTTCAGAGTGAAAAATAGTGTCCTGGGTCTTGGTCTGGAAAAGTTGTTAGGTGGATTACAACAGTTAATTACAATAACTAAAGTGCTGCTAAAGTCTGAGTTCAGAAAAGATGAAACACAAAGGGAAATGTATTTATGGGATGTAACAGTATTATTGATGAGTTACTGTAGCGCAAAAGTCTGAAGAGTTGAAATGAATTATCAGTTCACACTGTCACTGTGAAAAGTACTTTGTTCTAGAGACATGTATGAGGGCCAAGTATGCTGTACTGTGCTTTTCTAGTTGCTTTCAGATTAAAAGGGAAAACTTTGAAAATGGAGATAAATGTCATGTCACTACAGAGAGATTAGACTCTTTTTGAGGAAAAAAGATGTACTGCTTCAGCAGTATTAGTCTACTGAATCAAAATGGTACATATTGTAATTGATGCGTTTTGGCAGCTGAAAATGAAGGTTCACTCGAAGCATGTCCGTTGTTGAATTCCACATGGACTTGTATCCTTGGAGGCTTTATGAACAAATAAAACACAGCTACTAGCGCAGTCTCTTTATTCTGTTTTTTGAATTCACCATTTATCAGCTGGAACTTAATGTTCTGAGATATCTGTTAAAATAACAAGAGTCTACGTGGCCCTTCTGCATACAGCTGCAATTGCAAAGTCCTAGCTTTGGGTTTAGCTGTGTGCATGCCTGCAGTTTTCCTGCCAGCCAGCCATATCTCTCCCACAGCTCTGTGCTTTTCCTGCTTGCCAGACTCAAACCTTAGCCAAGGCAAATGTACCTGTACCCTGTGTACCAGAGCCTATCCATGCCTGTGGTATCTCTGGCAGAGGATGACCATGATCTTGCCTCCTGACCTCACAGCAAACAAGGCTGATTATTTTTTTCAGTCTAGATATACAGCAGAAAGCAACATCACACCAAGCAGCCTGAGAAGCCACAGGAAAGCCTTCCAAACTACCCCTGCTGCCACAGCACTCTGAGCCCTTCCTTATGCTGAACCTAATTTTTAAAAACAGGCGCTCCCCAGCAAATTTGGGGATCTAGTCTGAAGGCATTTCCTGGGAAAGCCAGTCCAGGATATGCTCAGGGGCTTGCTCCCCCATCCACACATTTGGAGACCCTCTCTCAGCTCCACCACGGTGGCACCTGCGCAGGGCTTGCATGGCACCGGCCTCATGCCCAGGGTGCTGCCGTGGGGGATGTGGATGCTCTCTGCTCCCCGTTTCGGAGCGGGAGGAGCTCGGGGCTCAGTGGCTGTGCCAGCCCGCTGGCAGGATGGCTGCCCGCCTCTCCCAGCTCCCGGCCACCGGGACAGCCGAGCCCCCCGGCTCCCTCCCCACTCCGCGCCGCTCTCGCTCACAGCCGAGCCCTCGCACATCACCTGCCCCCAGCTGGCATCGTCCAGTGAGACATTGTCGGTGGTTTCCTTCATGATGATGGTGGTGGTGGGAGGTCTGGCTCCCTGCAGTGGTTTGACCACCGTCTCTGTGAAAGCTGTGGAAATCCCTCTCCTCTTGGTTTGGAACGCGGTCCTTTCCGGGCACCCTCACCGCAGCACCATCTCTCCTGGCGCGCTGCGCCTCTGCAGCTGGCATGACCCCGTGGACAGGGAAATACTCCCCTCCTCTGGGACGCTAATAGCTCGGGCTAAAGGTACATCAGATAGCGGCTTCAGCTAATCACTGATCAGTTCTTCTCCGGAAAAGTAAGAACAGGAAGCACCTCTGTTTTCTTTGAGGTGGCAAGTGCCGTGGGCAGGGACCGGCTCTGACCCGGGACAGCGGGAGCTGCCCCTACGCGGTGCCGGGGGTGGCATGGTGGTGGCGGCAGTGGCAGTGCCAGTGGCAGTGGCAGTGACCTGGCCAGCAGCGTGAGGGACGCAGGGAGGCTGCGGAGCCCCGGCACGCGAGGATGTCGGGCAGAGCATCTCCCGCCCTGGAGAAGAACGGCAGCATCGGGCACACAGACAAGGGGATGGCCGTGGGGCAGCTCCCCAACAGCATCAGCGTCCAGGGTGTCTCCTACACCATCAGGTAGGGCTGGGAGGGCGGTGTGGAGGGGCGCTGCTCCGGCCAGCGGCGGCGGGAGCGGGGCAGGCCCTGTGGGCCGGGGGTTTGGCCGCAGCCCGGCACGGGGAGCGATGGCGCCGGGCCCCCTCACGGCGCCGGGCCCCCTCACGGCCTCGGGGCCGAGCCCTCCGCAGCCCCACCGCATCCCCTTCACGGCTCTCTGAAGGACGTGCTTTAGAGATTTCCTAACGCTGTGCCCTTTCCCGTTGCGTTTCTTGCTGCTGCCAGAGGGATAGCACGAGGCCCTAAGGAAAGGGACGGGTGGATTAATAGCTGGCAAACATCATCAGCAAATAAAGCCACAGTTCATGGCTGCCCCTTTGGTTGCAGTCCAAAAGCTTCTTAGCAATCATTCTGAAAAACGTGTTCAGATCTCGTTTTATCTTCCAGGTAATGCCAAAGTTGAAGCCTTAGGAGGTGAAAAGGCAAGGAGGAAATACTTTTATTTTTCCATATTTTAAAATCCTTGAAGCTCCCATCCAACATGCAAGTAGCTATGAACCATTCACGTGCTTTATGCAAAATTTTTACATATTTTCTAATTTTTTATTGGTGTTTGTTTTCCAAGAGAGCGTGTTGGCCCATGGTGGAACTTTTCTTTATATTGTAAAAAATGGACCCGGCAAATACTTAAGGATGTTTCATTTCACATAGAAAGTGGCCAGATTATGGGGATTTTAGGAAATTCTGGTAAGTTGTTCCAGTACTTTAAACAAAATAAGATCACGGTTAATACTGGTGACTTTCATAGTGACATGAATGTGACTGAGGTCTGTGTTTTAAATAATGAAATTGTGGCTGATTTTAACTTCTGCTTTGTAAAAATGGTGCTTGGTTTTCAGAGTTCAGTCTTCTGTCATCTAACTAACAATTATAACTTCAATAACAGACAAGGTTACTTCAAAACTCAAATGTTTCGCTGCAGAGTGTGAATTTTTTATGATTTAAACACTAATTTGCATTCTAGTTTTCCCATTTACTTTCCCTTAATTAGCTGCATTTTCAGGGCCTATTATTTTGAAGTTATCAAGAAAAAATCCAACTTTGTACCTTTTGTATGTGTCCATCCAAGTCAGGCTACCACTCTTGGAATCATAAAATTCATCTCAGCACATGATTAATTTATTTTGTTTGAAAGGATCTGGGAAAACAACTCTTCTGGATGCAATATCGGGAAGACTGGGACATAAAGACAACTTCTTTGGTGAAGTGTATGTGAATGGACGTCAGCTGAAGAGGGAACAGTTCAGAGATTGCTTCTCTTATGTGCCACAGGTTGATTTCTACATTTATTTTTTGTGTGCTGTGCTTCCTTTTGTGTAAAAAAATTGCTAGTGTAATGGAGTAGTGTAATGTGAATGTGATTTTACTAGGAAATTTGGGACAAATCAGTTAATAAGCTGTATGAATGATTAGGCTTGCATGAAGAGGGACAAAATTTTAATTACTACAGGACTAACTCCTTCTTCCTCTTCACTTTTTTTTCAGAGTGACACTTTGTTAAGCTTTCTCACTGTACAGGAGTCTTTGACCTACACGGCTTTACTAACTCTTAAGAAGTGCTCCAACAGCTCCATTAAAAAGAAGGTTTGTATTTTACAGTCTTCCACCAGAAAGTCGTCCAGGCTGTTTTGTAATGTTTTCACCAGCAGCACTTTCCTTCCATGGCTGTGTTTTACGTTTTGAGGTTTTGTAATCTTCATTCTGCAAATGGGGGGAAATCCCCCTGCTGAGGAGTAGGGCACAAGCTCTCTGGTGGTGCCACCTCTTCAAGGGGCTTGTGCTGGTGCCCCAGGACATGCCCATTATGCTGGGACAAAACGCTCCCACCCGAAGCTGGAGCAGTTACTGCTGCAGGAGGTGCTGCTCTGGGTGTTGAGGTCAGTTCCCCTTCCCCAGAGGGGAACCTCAGTTCTCTGGGGTATTTAGGCCCGTGTGTGCTGGCAAGTCTCATGGACAGCACAACTGATTTTGGCACCACTCTGTCTCCTGTACGATATCTCTCACTAACCACAACAGCTCAAAAAAGCACTGGTCTACTAAACCTCCTACAAGCTGCTTTCTTGATGAAATCAGTGTGTTTCAGATTTATTTAAAGGGGTCTTTTTTTAATTGTATTGGAAGTAAAATCGGATATTTCTCACCAGAGGGTCTTGCTTTCTGTCTTCTCTCTTCCCCAGTCTTCCAGTCAGTACTTTATAATTTCCCAGAATTGATGTGCCTCCCTGCTCTCTGATTTTGGAAGCCAGAGCAGCAAATTATGCTTCATACCTTAACTTCTAGTCACCTCTAAACTCTTAATCGCGTAATGTCAAATGAGGCTAAAATTTACTCATTTCAGAATGGATTGAAATAAAATTTTAAAAACTAATAATTTAAATAATGTATTAAAAATCAAATATAAATTAGGCCAGATACTGTTCAACTAGAATGGATGCAAGCAGGCTATTAGTAAAGCTGTAATTTTAAATTATGTTCTTTTTTTCCTGTTTTTTGCCATTGCACACAGGTATCTGAGCTGGACTGTGTTTAGTGCTTTGAAGTTGTAATTATTTTTTAGGTAGATGCAGTTATGACTGAGCTGAGTTTCAGCCACATTGCTGACAAAATAATTGGAAGCCGGAATGTCGCTGGAATTTCTGGGGGTGAGAGGCGTCGGGTATCGGTTGCAGCCCAGCTTTTACAAGATCCCAGTAAGTACCACTGCATGGATTTTCAAAATAAAGCAAGGCTGTGTCACGTTGTGCTCCTGCCACAGGCCTCTGTAAACCACTTCAAAATACAAAAGCATTTGCATTCTTTAATTCAGCAGAAGCCAGTCCGATGATGACAGGAAAGAATAAGCAGTAACTGAGGTCTGCCACTGATCTGTTAGTTGGTCTTGGAAAGCAGACAAATTAAAAATGTTAGGGGACTGAACATAGGTTTGGACTTGGATTTATCCATTTTAAGTCTTTCTGGGTTCACTTTTACCAAAGGTTGGTTGTGGCCCATTAATTTATCATTTTTGAGTATATTAGAGCCGTATATGTGCAAGCACTGAGCCTTGTAGTGGAGTAGCTGCCCTTCATCTATGTATGTGTGAGTGCCATGTATGTTCCAGTGCCAAAAAAATTCCAGTGAAAGGAAATCAAAGCTGAGTAACTGTGGAAGGATTATCCATGGGAAAAATTTTGTGAGTTTTGAGAGAGTTTCTTGAAGGTGCCAGAATCTCACGGAGTGAAGGTACAGCACATGTTTATTGGATGCTGGAGTCCTTGTAGCCATGTGGATGTGCTACAACTGCATATTAGGCAGGAGGGAGCTTAAGTAGCACAGTGAGGTACATCCCTGCTACTGGTGACTCCTGGGGTGTGGTTGCTGCTCAGGACCTCACAAAACTCTACAGTAAACACTATAGTAATTCTGTGTAGATAAACCTAGAGTGAAAACTCTCCTCCCGTCGTACCCTGATCAGGGTTGGACTGCCCTCTTCTGTGCTATGTGTCATCTCTATAAAAATAATGGATTTGATGATTAGTTTTTCCCTTTCATGTGCAATAAAATAATGAAGAAAAGGCAGTAACATCTGCTTCAATCTGTGGAATTGCATCTGCTGTATTTTAAGAATTCTTGGTTTGTTCATAAATTTTATATATAAATATGTATGTATAAATTTAATTCAGAATATATAACTCCTAGCTAATTTTGTCGCTTATATTTATGATTTTGTAAATGCTGAAATTTATCATTATTGTTCTTGAAAGCAGATGTATGCATCAAAACTATTTTGGTAATTTTCAGATTTCACATGAATTTAGAAGAAGTATTATGCTCTAAACTATTTTTCATGTCCTTATTCCTAGTCATTGAAACAGAACCACTGAAACTAAATAAAACTGAACGATCCCATCATGGCAATATCTGTGCACACCCTGGTTTATGTGCTGAACTTCACCTGCAAAGTCATTTCTATGTTATTTGCCAAATTAGCTTTAAAGGCAGAAGCTATGCCATTTGCTCCTGATTTACTGGAATTTTGAAGTTACTCTTTGTCGTTTGACAGAGGTCATGCTACTTGATGAACCAACGACAGGGCTGGACTGCCTGACTGCAAACCAGCTTGTCTTGCTTCTCTCACAGCTTGCACACAAAGACAGGATTGTGATTCTTACAATCCATCAGCCTCGCTCAGAACTTTTCAAGGTAGATGATACCTACTCACTGTTGGCTTTTCCACCTGACCTTTTAATACATTGGTTCTTTTCAGGATGGAAGTACAAGATCCAGTATAGCTGCCTTTTTTCCTTTCCTTTGCTTAATTAGAGGCTTCTCTTGAACTTTACAACTCTGGCCTTGTCCCAGTCACAGGGCACTTAGGGACACACATTGCCTTGTGAAAATAGTGTGAATTCTGTCTGTGTGCCTAACACTTGTGTTGTGCAAGTGCCCAAACCAAAACCGC